AATTCACTCACAGACGGGGCTCCCGCCTGATACTTCAGCAACACTCAAGCCTGAGGAACACAAACTTTACGACAGTTACAGGATCCCGATGACCCGCTCGGATTACCAACATGAAATGCGGACCTAATAGGGAGGGGGTCCCGTCTGAGACTTCTTCGCAATGCACTTACAGACGAGGCTCCCGCCTGAGACTTCCTCAGTACTCAAGCCTGAAGAGCCCCAAAGTGACGAGAGTTACAAGAAAGATCCTGGTCACCCGCTCGGATTACCAACATGTAGTGCGGACCCCATAGGGAAGGGGCTCCCGCCTGAGACGTTCTGCAATTCACGCACAGACGAGGCTCAGTCTTGTTCGCCGATCGCGATATGATGGTGATAGTGATGAACGTGTGGCGATAGTGATAGTGATGGCAATTTGGTGAGAGTGACGCTTATGAAGAGGTGTGCGAATACGACGACGATAATAGTCGTGATGATAAATGAGTGTGTGTGCTGTTGTTGATGATGAATGAGTGTGTGTGTGTGTGTCCTGATGATGCTGATGGTGGCACTGATGATGACAAGTGTGCAAACGAGGTGGGAGGTCATCCTGCGCGGAGGTGTGCAGAGAAAACCCCAAAAAACACTTAGGAAGATGTGGGAAAAGCGAAGACCAAACACCACAGGATGGTTGGGAACAATATCTCGGACCAATCGGGCGTGAAAGTAGTATCCCGTGTTGCAAATTTGGGTGTAATCGAAGGGTGGGAGAGGGGGGGGACTGTTCGTGGAATGCCGGGTTACGATCAAACCGCTGTCCAATCTTGCCAGCATATCCAGATACACACATTGTGCAGCCAGCCCAGCTCCACTTAATTTAGCCCATCCCGTTTCTCCTTATCGTCGGCCTCATCCTACCTCCGGCGCATCCCTTTTACAGATAAATGTGTCTACTCTGATCGTCGACACGGGGCATCCCCACCACGAGTTTGAAGCGCCAAACTCCAGAATAATCAATCGACTACTTACAGCGCCGCACAATTCTCATCGCCTCGCGTATCCCCACCAGGCTACAGCACCTTAGGCTCACCATCAGCTTTCCCCAGTTGCGTTGCATCACGGTTCGCGACAGCTCAGCCCCCCTGGCTAGCTCACGTCGTCACGGCGTTTGGCGCCAGTCCCATGGCGACTCACTCCACCGGCCTCCCGCTTGCCCCCACTCAGATCGACGGACTTGGTTATCCTGGTACTCGTCTCATACTGTGTGGGTCGTGCCATGTCAGGCACCGAATTCCATGACATTTTGTCCTGTGCGCGTGCTCGAGCTCTCAGGATGCCCCTCCGCCGTCAGCTCCCCTTCAGCTTCGCGGCTGCTGTGTGAGTGGGCCGGCCGGTCTGTGTGCCTGTTGTAGCTAATTAGCCTCGTTCGCGCCCGGACTTTGCTTTCGCCGCCTGACCCTTGTCTCGTGGCCGCGACCAAAAAAAGTATCCCAACCAGTTCGGCCCACCGCTTTAGGTTAGTTCGTCTTTGCGCGCCCCGCTCTGACTGGACTCGCCGCTGGCGCGCTCGCCTGCGGCCGCTGACAAAAAGTATCCCCACCAGCCCATCCAGGAATGATGCCTTGGGGAGCTGCCCTTATCGGGGGAGCGTGGCATCATTTGGATACCTCGGGGGGGCTTCAATGAACTAGAGGCTCTTTGGATGGCTCTCGGAGTCGCTTGGGGTGTCTACTCGGGGGCTTTGGGGGGCCTCTCGCGGCGTCTTAGGGGCCTTTGGGGAGCCTCTAGGGGGCCTCTTGAGGGCCGTTTGGGGCCCTCTTGGCAGTCTTGGAAGCCTTCTTAGGACCATGTTGGAAAACATCAATCCAAGAAGGCAGTTAGTGTTGTCCCTCCAAAGCCCCTTACATCGCCTCTTGGGGCGCTCTCTGGACGCCCTTGTGCGCTTTTGGGATCGTCTTGGCCCCTCTTGGGTCCATCTTGGGTCTCTCCTGGACCCTGCAGAACCAACCATCTTGGGGCCTCGGAAGGCAATCGGAAGCGAACTGTTGAGAAGGCCAAATTCATTGATCCCCTTGGGTGAACCAAGACCCTCCCACTGGGGCCTTCGGTGGAGCTCCCTATTAAGACACGAAGCACTTGAGGAGCGTGGCGAAACGGGGAGGGGAGACGCATGTGGATCCTGCCGCTGAAACCTCTGGTGGAGCTCCCTATGGGACCACGAAACGCACGGGGTGTGTACTGGAATGGAGCGGGGAGACGCATGTGGATTTTCCCACTGGGGCCTCCGGTGGAGCTCACAATGGGGGCACGAAACGAGTGAGGGCCGTGCTGAAATAGGGAGGGGAGACGCATGTGGACCCTGCCACTGGAGCCTTCGGTGAAGCTCCCTACGGGGCCCCGAAGCGAGTGAGGGATGTGCCGAAACAGATCGAAACAGTGACATGCGGAGGGTGATGCCAGGAATGGGATGGATGGAAGGAGGGCGAGGAGGGGAGGAGGGCGGGGACTGTCTCTTCAAAGCGAGGGCCCAACACCACAGGACGGTCGGGAAAAACAGCCTCCCGCCCGAAACGCCAACTCATTTGCCTGTGCCCGCTCGAAGTGTGCGTCCGTGCAGAAACCCGCCCACGCTCTCAAGATGTTCTGAAGCTGTCCACAAGCCTTGCTCCCCGCTGCCGTATCTTGCATGTACGCATGCACGCCATTGACATGCATGCATCAAGGAGCGGACGTTTGTTTCTCCCCATATCCTAGGTAGGGTTCTTGTTTTCTCTGCACCCCCCCGCGCAGGATCGCTTCTACTCCCTCTCTTCCTCACCACCCACGCACACACTCACACACTCAGATCACCATCGATATCAACATCATCATCGATATAACCATCATCATCATCATCATCATCATCATCATCATCATCATCATCGTCATCATCATCATCATCATCATCATCATATCATCATCCACACCATCATCATCATCATCACCATCATCACATCGACATCACCACACCATCACTTATACACTCACTCACACTCCCTCGACCACTCTCATTCACTCATAACTTACTCACTCACAATGTCCCACTCACTCACTCACTTTTTCCGGAATGGCTCACTCATCACTCACTCATAGCTACCACTGCATGAATTGCGAGGAAGTCTCAGGCGGCCGCCCCCTCCCCATGGAACCCGCAAACCACGTTACTAATCCGAGCGGGTCATCGGCAACCTGTAACTGTCGTCACTGTTGGCTCCCTCACGCCTGAATATCTTCGTCTGTGAGTGAAGTGTGAGGAAGTCTCAGGCGGGAGCCCCTTCCCTATGAGGCCCGCGGATCATGTTGGCAACCCGAACATGTCATCGGGATCCTGTACTTCTGGCCCCTCTCAAGCCTGAATAAGGAGGAAGTCTCGAGCGAGTGCCCTGTCTGTGTGTGAATTTGCCCGCTGATAGTATAGTTAATACGAACGGGCCATCGGGTTCTTGTAACAGTCGTCACTCTCGCCTTCCCCATACCTGGAGGAAGTCTCGTGCGGGAGCCCCGTCTGAAAGTGAATTGAAAAAAACATCAAGCGGGAGCCTCGTCCACGAGGCCCGTAGATCATGTTGCTAATCCGAACGGGTCATCGAAAACCTCTACATAACTGTTGTCACTTGTGGACGCCTCAAACCTGAATCTGGAGGAAGTCTCGCGCGGGAGCTTCGTCTGTGAGTGAACTGGGAAGTCTCAGGCGGGAGCCCCCTCCTTATGGGGCCCGCGCTTCATGTTGGGAATCCGAACGGGTCGTCGGGAACCTCTAACTGTTGTCACTTTTGGACGCCTGAGGCTTGAATATAAGGGAAGTCTCGAGCGGGAGCCTCGTCTGTGAGAGAATTGAGAAAGTCTCAGGCGGGAACCCCCTCCCTATCCGGCCCGCGCTTCATGTTGGTAATCCGAGCGGGGCCACGCGAACTCCATAACTGTCGTCACTTTGGGGCTCCTCGGGCCTCACTCGGAGTACATGGAATGCGCGCCGGGCCATGTCGTTCGCCCCCGCTACCTACCGCAGGGAATGTGGCTGCGGGTGCACGGCTTCAAGGAGTCTCCGATCTACCAGGAGGTCGCCGAGCTGCTGCGACAGGGCGTCGAAAGTGCCAACGACGACGGCGAGGCCGAGGCGCAGGCGAGGAACTTGCCCATGTTCAGGCCCAGCGAGCAGGAGCTCACGTGGCAGAGCTCGGGGCCGCATGTCGTGCGCCGCTCTGTGTTCATCCTGACGCGCGCTCCTACCTCACCTCCACGCTGTCGCAGGGCCAGACGCTGTGCAAAGGCCTCACCATCGACTGCGCGAGGGACGAAGACGCTGGCCGCACGGGCATGTCGGACGAGCAGTGGTGGCTACACTGTATACACCTCCATGCGGAACACGTTGATCCTGCGGCCGCCCTCGCGCAAGTTTCTGGTGCGCGGGCCGCCGGCGTCCTTGCGGAAGGCGCTCAAAAAGCTCAATGAGAAAGCGAAGACCTCCAGGGGTGAGGCGGAGCAGCTCGCAGCACGGCTGGGTTTCGTGCTGCCCCCCCGCCTGAGCGCGGCCGCGCCTACCTCGAGACTTGCGGGGTTATGCCAACGGCCTGGCCCGCGCGGTTGCCCCAACGGCATGGCCCGCGGGGTCGCCCCAAAGGCTTCGTGACCCAGCCGTCGGCGAACCCGCGTGCGCTGGCCGAGGCGGCGACGGCGCGGAGGAACATCGATTTGCTTCTCCCGACAAGGGGGAAGGGGAGGTGCACATGGAGAAGAGGCAACAGGGGGATGAGGAGGGGGGAAGGGGTTGGGGGAGGGCGATGATGAGGAGGTGGAGAGGGAGGAGGAGGAGGGGGAGGAGGAGGAGGAGGAGGAAGAGGAGGAGGAGAAGGAGGAGGAAGAGGAGGAGGAGGAGGAGGAGGAGAGGAGAAGAAGGAGGAGGAATTACCTCGGAATTGCCTGCCACCCACATGCGGTAGGAAGGAGGAGGAGGAGGAGGAGGAGGAGGAGGAGGAGGGGAGAAATAGAATGAGGAAGAAGAAAGGGCAGAGCAGAGGGCGAGAGGAAGGTGTCCGCCAGGGCGACGAGGACAGGGCTAAGGGCCGGCATGGCGGGCCTCAGGCGGCCGGCGGCAGCTGCACCGAGGCGACCAGGACCCGGACGCCCCGCCAGGCGTCCTCGCTCTCGACCACCATCTCCGTCTCCCGGGGCAGGAGGACCTCGTGATGGGCCTGTTTTCCACCACCACCACCGCCATGTAAGTTGGAGGGGGAGGTGGTCTTCCTCATCCTCCTCCTCCTCCTCCTCCTCCTTCACTTCGTCGTCCTCCTCCTCCTCCTCCTCCTCCTCCTTCACTTCGTCGTCCTCCTCCTCCTGCTCCTCCTCCTCCTCCTTTTCCTCCTCCTCCTCGTCGTCCTCCTCCTCCTTCCCCCCTCCAACTTGTGGTGGTGGTGGTGTTGGAAGACAGGCCCATCAAGAGGACCTCGTGCTCGCCCGCGGGCGCCGCGCAGGCCGGCAGCCTCAGCACGCAGGCGCCCTCCGGCACCGAGATCTGCAGCAGCACGGCGTCGGCCAGGTCCTCCTCGACCAGGGCGTGCCGCCGGGAGTAGAAGTTCCCGACGGCTCGGCTGGCAGAGGTGGACACGAAAGCCAGGTCCACGACCCGGTCGCCGAGCTGCACCTGCGTCGCAAACCGCCAGTCGGCGAAGCCTCGGTACAGCAGTGCGGGGGAGGCTAGCGCAGGGGCGCCCCGAAAGAGCCCGTCGAGCTCGTCGGCCTTGCGGTCGAGGTCCGCGTCGGGCGGCCAGCGTCGCCGCCGCAGATGTAGAAGAGGAAAATACGGTTGGGTCGGGCATGTCCTCCTACAGGCGGATTTTGGAGTAACAGTAAAAATAGCAAAAAATGCCCCAACAAAACCAAACATACCAGAAAAATCGTCCCCAGACTAGTGTTTTACTATTTTGGAATGCTCCTTCTGTGGGGGGACGGGCCCGACTTGAAAATACGGCACACAGCTACACTTTCGGAGCTCCGCGCGGACTCCCTGGACCTGCGCGGGGCCCCCTCCCTGGCGCGCGGAGCGCGCCCGGAGCGGTGCCGCAAGCGCCTCCCGGGGGGCCCAGCATGGCCCAGCGCCGGTCCAAGAAGTCCGCGCGGAGCTCCGAAAGTTTATGTCCATGCAGCGTGTTCCTCTTCGGAGATATCTGTTCAGAACGGAGTAGTTGCCCCCCTGAGATCCGATGGGGCGAAAACCTGCAACATCGCGGAAGCTTACGACGTACGACCGGAGCCCTAGGCACGATCTTCCCGCGGGATTTTTGTTCGAACCAGGTCGATCTGTGATGGTCCTGCCCCTGTGAGAACGAAGCGACGCCGGGATCTCAGGCTCGTCCGCGCCGACGTATACCAAGCCAGGGCTGCGGAGCCCGCTGCGGAGCTGGCGGCACGGCGGCAGACCGCGGCCTGGCGGGCCAGCGCGAAGCGCGCCGCCATGCTGGCCGGGGGGGTGGAGAAGGAGCGGGAGGAAAGCGTGGGTAGGTGGCCGCGTGCCGACGATAAGAAAGTGTCCCCCCCGTGAACCCCCTGGTACCTGATGATCCCTGGGCTGCATCTCGTTTCAACCTGCCGCAACAGGCAGGGAGGCGACGAGGACGCCTTAAGCAAAATGCTTGTTTGTAGACAATGCCGGCCCGAATGTTTTTTTTTTTTTTTTGTATCCCAAGCGCTTATGATCTGCGAAGAAACATCGACCATGAGTAGTCCTACACAGCGAGTCGAACACCGACCGCGAATCGTTGTCTTACGAACAGAATTTGATTGGTCAGAAACTTTGAAATGTTCCGGAAATCCTCGCCCTCATTCTCCTCTCTCCTCCAGGGAGGCCCCCCAAAAAGATCCAATGCACTTCACCGTAATATTTCACAGGATCCGTGCTCGTTCGACATCTCCAAGGAGGCGCCCCGAGAGGGACCAATGTACCATGTCACCCTCGTGCTTAACAGGAGTTGTGCTCTTCCTACATCTCCCGGGAGGCCCTCAAGAAGGATCATAGAGGCTCCATCATGGGGGCTCTTGAAGACCGATCCAGACATCCTGACATATCGCCGGGGGAAAAATATTCCCCTTCCTGTTGAGCAGGGACCGACCGTCCCGGCATTCCTATCGGCCTACCACGACATGTTCTTAAACACAAGAATATACGAAAAACAAACACAATGTTCTTAGAACATAAGCCCGATGCGTTAAAACAAGACAGTGCCAACCAGAGATGTTCTAAGACCATTTCCTGGAAGCCACAAAAGGTTCTTAGAACATTGTTTGGTAGGCCTATAGGCACGCCAGGGCGCTTCGCCACTGCTTGATCCTGGGCCCCGCACTTGCTTATCCCTGCGGGATTCCTCTCGCCAGCGTAAGGTCAGGGCAGCGGCCTGAAGCCAGTTGGTTCCTCGGGAGCGCACCCACGACACGGCCCACCGAGGCGGCGACGCGGAGCCCCGAGGGCACCCCGAAGGGCAAGGCCGCCGGGGCATGAGGCCCTCCGATGAGGGAGGCCGGAGCCAAGCAGCTCGCCGCGCCCGCGGGGACGAAACTTGAGAAGTGACCGACCGTCCCGGCATTCCTGTCGGCCTACCACGGAATGTTCCTCGAACCCAAAAGTGTTCTAACATAAAGCCGATGTGTCAAAACAAGACAGCCCCAGCCAGAAATGTTCAAAGAACATTTCGTGCAAACCACCAAAGGCTCTCAGACCATCCTTTGGTGGGCCCTCTCGGGCACGCCAGGACGCCTCGCCACTGCTTAAGACAATCCCAGCGGCCGCACGCGGCCGCCCAGCAGACGCCCCGACGACACACGGCCCAGACCAGACCCCAGCGTTTCGAGCCAGGTCCAGCGCCGGCGCGAGGGGGAGGAGGAGGGGGAGGAGGAGGAGGGGGAGGAGGGGGAGGAGGAGGAGAGGAGGAGGGGGGGGAGGAGGAGGAGGAGGAGGAGGAGGAGTAGGAGGAGGAGGAGGAGGAGGAGGAGGAGGAGGAGGAGGAGGAGGAGGGGGAGGGCAGGGAAGGCCCTCGGCCCGCGGCCAGGCTCGCGCCTTGAGCCACAAAGCGGATAATTACGGATCTGCATCGAACTGTCCGGGCGAAGGGCCCAACCATGTGCAGTCGTGGGTGCCGCGCTGCGGTTGCCGCTGTTGGTGCAGCTCCCCGTGGGGCCACGAAACGCGTGAGGGGTGTGCTGTCATGGTAGTGGTAGGGGAGCGCATGCGAATTGTGCTGTTGGGGCCTTAGGTGGAGCTCCCCATGGGGCCATGAAGCATATGAGGGGTATGCCGAACTGGGCCTGGGTACCGGAAGCAAACGTCGCCGATGAAGCCGTCGGTGCACGCGGCCACGGCTACTGGATCCTTCAGTGGAGCTCCATATGTGGCCACGAAGCGCTGTATTGGCCGCGGCCACTAGGTCTCTAAGTTAAGCCCCCTTATGGGGCTAGAAAACATGTACTGAGTGGGAGGGGGGGGAGACACATGTTGACCCTCCCACGTGGGACTTCGGTGGAACTCCTTATGGAGACACGACACATGTAAGTGGTGTGCCAAAATGTCGCGGGGACACGCATGTGGACCCTGCCACTGGGGCCTTCGGTGGAGCTCCCTGTGGGGCCACGAAGCGTGTGAGGTGTGTGCCGAAACAGGGCGGGTAGACGCATGTGGACCCTCCCACTGGCGCCTTCAGTGGATCTCTCTATGAGGGCACGATATGTGTGGGGTGTGGAGGCGCATGTGGACCCTCCCACTGGGGCCCTCGGCAGAGCTCTCTATGAGGGCGCGAAGCATGTGAATGGTGTGCCGGATTGGGGAGGAAGAAGTCGCATGTGGACCCTCAAACTGATAACTTCTGTGGAGCTCCCTATGGGGCCACGAAACGTGTGAGGGATGTTCCGAAACAGAGACATGCGGAGGGTGCAGGGATGGGATGTGAGGTGGAGGGAGAGGAGGATATGAGAAGTGGAGGAGACGCGGGGACTGTCTTGTCAGAACGAAGACCCAGCACCACAGGATGGTTGGGAATTAGAAGCATATTGGGACAATGCCCCCCTGCGATGGTCTGAAAATGCGACCAGACAAACAATACCAAACTAAGAATCCATGCGAGGGTCACCGAGAAACTAACATTTGAATCTCTTCGGTGCTTCGGGCTTCGACCAGGCCCATCCCGCACATATCCGCTCGAGCAGACCAAACGAACGAACGCAGTTCAAGATAGTTTTCTCCAGAACCCCGTATGGACCATGAGTTGCCGCATCATTGTCCCAGCTTCTTGGGTTTCTCACAGGAATCGTGGCCCAAAGACCCGATGCGTGTTCGTATCGTCTGAGTGAATACAGCCATTGGCAAATTGAATTGCGTGCGGAGTTGGGCCTGGAGGAGGCCCACGCCCCGAACAAGACCGAATTCACGTTTCTTACCATGACCGCCACAAGGATATATAACTGGAGAAAATGCGGCCATCGGGCGGATCGTGCCCCCCCAACAACTTTTGTTGATTGGTTCTACGGGGAAGTGATTGTTATTGTTTGCAAGTGTAGTGATGCTTTTGTTGTTTCCATGTGCAAGGGCCAGGCTTTCCTAGGGGATAACAAGATCGGACAATGATGCCTGAATCCCTTCCTGATAAATTCCGTGCTCCTCCTCCTCCTCCTCCTCCTCCTCCTCCTCCTCCTCCTCCTCCTCCTCCTTCTGTTCTCTTCAACATCTCACCCTCGCCGCCGTTCACTCGGTACGAGAAGATGATGAGCTCAAGGACCTCAGAAAAACAAACGTCACATAGTCTCAAATCTCAGCCTTGACCCCCCCGCACCACCAGTTCAGGAAAACACGAGGGGCGCGCTGGTGCCGAGCAAGACACAATAGGCGCAATGGGGGGATATGGAAAACGGGTCAGAAATTAGCCTGGCAACCATATGCAGTTGTGAATACCGCAGTTGTAGGTACCGTCGTTGGTGGAGCCCCCTCATGGGGCCTCGAAACGCTGTACCGAGCGGGGGAAACGCATGCGGGCTGCGCCACTGGGACCTTAGGTGGAACTCCCTATGGGGCCACGGAACGCTGTACTGGGCGGGGAAAACGCATGCGGGTTGCGCCCGTGGGCCACGAAGCGCTGTTCCGGGTGTGGCAGACGCATGCGGGCTGCGACACTGGGACCTTAGGTGAAGCTCCCTATGGGGCCACGAAGCGCTGTACTGGGCGTGGGGAGACGCATGCGGGCTGCGCCACTAGGACATTCGGTGGAGCCTTCTACGGGGCCACGAAACGCTGTACCGGGTGTGGCAGACGCATGCGGCTGCGCCACTGGAACCTTCGGTTGATCTCCGTTTGGGGCCACGAAGCGCTGTTCCGGGTGTGGGAGAAGTATGCGGGCTGCGCCACTGGGACCTTATGTGGAGCTCCCCATGGGGCCACGCAACGCTGTACTGGGTGTGGGAGACGCATGCGGGCTGCGCCACTGAGACCTTCGGTATAGCTCCCTACGGGGCCACGAAACGCTGTACTGGGTGTGGGAGAAGCATGCGGGCTGCGCCACTGGGACATTCGGTGGAGCCTTCTACGGGGCCACGGAACGCTGTACTGGGTGTGGGAGACGCATGCGGGCTGCGCCACTGGGACCTTCGGTAGAGCTCCCTACGGGGCCACGAAACGCTGTACTGGGTGTGGGAGAAGCATGCGGGCTGCGCCACTGGGACCTTCGGTGGAGCTCCCTATGGGGCCACGAAGCGCTGTACTGGGCGTGGGGAGACGCATGCGGGCTGCGCCACTGGGACCTTCGGTGGAGCTCCCTATGGGGCCACGAAAAACTAGACTGGGTGTGGGAGACGCATGTGGGCTGTACGACTGGGACCCTCGGTGAAGCTCCCTATGGGGCCACGAAGCGTGATGATGATGCTGATGATGATGATGATGATGATGATGACGATGATGGTGATGATGATGATGATGATGTTGATGATGTTTATGATAATGATGATGATGCTGGTGATGATGATGCTGCCGATAAGAATAATGATCATGCTAATGATGATAGTAATGATGATGCTGATTGTGGTGATGGTGATGGTGATGGTTATGGTGCTGAGGTCATGATGATGGTGGTGATGATGATGTTGCTGCTGCTGCGGCTGATGATGCAGATGATGACGATGAGATGATAATGATGATAATGCTGATGACGATGACGATCATGATCATGAGGTGATGGTGATGATGATGATGATGATGATGATGATGATGATGGTGATGATGATGCTGATGATGATGATGATCAGGCTGCTGATGATGATGATTATGTTGATGATGATGATGATGGTGATGATGGTGATGATGATGATGGTGATGGTGATGGTGATGTTGATGGTGATGGTGATGGTGATGGTGATGATGATGATGATGATGATGATGATGATGATGATGATGATGATGATGATGATGATGAGAGGAGGAAGGAGAAGGCAACGGGAGGAGTGAAAACGAGGACCCAATACCACAGGATGATTGGGACAAATAGGAGGCGGAATAATAGAAAGGTGAGGTGATGGTGATGGTGCACAAATGGGGGAAGAGGAGGAAGAGAACGATGACGACGAATCGATAAACCAGCGCCGACACAAGAGCGAACCTCAGAGAATTGATGAGTATGCATTTGTGTCTCATCTATCCTGCCCCTCCGGCACCGGTGTCCCCAAACCCCTCGGGGCTCTGGCCGGAGACACGTTCGGCTAATCAACGTTCGTGTCTGAGATGGGACGCATGAGCTGCATCGCATCACAAGACTCATGTGTGTCGAGGGCAGCGTTCGCAGCAGCCGTGTTCGTTCACGTGTCTCTACTCCTCCTCCCCCTCAGCCTCATCCTTCACTCCTCTCCGTCCTGCTGCGGAACACTATCAACTCCACAGCGCGCGTGGCGTGGCGACGGAGGGGAGACTTCTCCCCTCGTCGAGCCCACGACCCCTACTCCTCATCCTCTTCTCCTCCTGCACCTTCTCCTGATCAGGATTCCCATCCTCAAGATTGAAAGGAGGAGAATGGCACCCTTCTGCTTGTCGTCTGCCTCCTCCACCTCCTCCTGATTACTCCTCCTCCTCCTCCTCCTCATCCACGCTCCCCTTGTCCTCCTCTCTCCCCTCCTCCTCTTCGCCCCTGTCGGATGCTGTCTCGACATCGGCCCAAGAACCCTCCAGAACACCGCGCCGGAGGAGCAGAAGCAGGAGGGGGAGGAAGGGAAGGAGGAACGGCACGGCCAACGAGGATCAGAACAGTCAGCCGGCCTCGCTTCCCTGCTGGACTGGTGGCTTGTTCTCTTTGCTGTGTCGTGAGTCTTTTGCCTCGTGCCCCCGCGGTCCTGCCTTTTTGGCGTTTCCGCTGAGAGGGAGGCCGGCGCCGTACAGGACGCCACCCGGGGGCGTGTGCACCAGCCTCCTGGCCGCTCTAGCTTGCCCCAAGATTCTCGCAGGGACGCCACCAGACAACCAAGAGAGCCCCTAAATGCCTCCAGAGGCGCGGCAAGAGGGCTCCACGACAGTCGCAACACCCCAGAATGGGCCAAGGCCGCATCGAGGCGGCCCCAAGAAGGCCCAAGAGAGCCCCCAAGAGAACCTGCCAAGAGGACCTTGCCACGCTCCGAGAAGGCAGAACTCCTGGAATAGCCCTGGGACTCTCGATGCGTTCAGTCTGTTTTGTTATGCTCCGAAGACGTCCCAAAATGATATGTCTCAGGATGGCCCGACCCGACGTGACCTCCAGAGGCCTCAAGACGCCAGCAACATCGCCCAACATGGCCCCAATCCTCCTCCTCCTCCCCCTCCTCCTCCTCCTCCTCCTCCTCCTCCTCCTCCTCCTCCACCTCCTCCACCTCCTCTCTCCTCCTCCTCCCTCCTCCTCCTCCTCCTCCTCCTCCTCCTCACCTCCTCCTTCTCCTCCTCCTCCTCCTCCCCTCCCCCTCCTCCTCCTCTCCCCCTCCTCCTCCTCCGTCCTCCTCCTCCTCCTCCTCCTCCTCCTCCTCCTCCTCCTCCTCCTCCTCCCCCTCCTCCTCCGCCTCCCCCTCCTCCGAGTCTGCCACATGGCCCCCCCAGAGACCGAAGGCGGCTCAAAGCAAACTTCCCCAGACGCTTCCGCCTGCCGGCCCGGCGGCAGAGGGCGCGGCCAGGCAGAGACCCCAAGCTGCTCCCGCCCGAGGCGCGGGCCCTGCGTGAGCTTGCGGTATCGCAAACAGCTCCGCTGGCCCGCTTCAGCCGGGGTAGGCCATCGAAACGAGAGCCCTGGGCCCGAGTGACAGTGCGCCCGGAGGCCGCTGAGGCAGGACTGCCGGGTGGGGTCTCGCTGCACTTGTGCTCATAAGCGGGCGGGCGACCACGTGCGTGCGACCATCGCCGACACCCCCTGGTGCAAAACTTCCAGAAGTTTCTTCCGTGAAGCACCACTCTGCCGGCGGTCCCCCGCAGGCCCCCCGCGACAACCCACGGTCAGACGGCCTCAGAAAGCCCCCCAGGCGGCCCCATAACTGCCGAGGACTGCACAGACACGGCTTCAAGCAACCCCAAGTCCTGCCCCTGAGGGCCCACGAGGACACCCCAAGAGAACCCACCAGAGGCGAAGGCACGGGAGCTCACACAGGGGACGTCGATAGTGTCTGTCTGTTCCCGAAGCTTTTCGGCCACAGATAGCTTCGTGAACGTGTCAGGGATTACCACAAAGCCCCCGAAACGCCCCAAGACGGTCCACTGGCCCTCAAGGAGGGCCCCCAGAACCGCTGCGAAATCCGCACGGACTGCAAAGAACAAGTTCTGCCAAACCTCTTCGAGAGAACTTAGCAAATCCTTCGCAATTGAGACAGCTCCCACACCCGTAACGGGTCCCGAAAAGCTCCCCACAGAAACTCCAACAGGCCCCCGACGACAGCCCAAGGCACTCAAAGAGCCCAGAGGCTGCAAGACGCCCCCAACGACGGCCCCAGGACACCAAAGGAGGCATCCAGCGAGGCTCGAAAAGCACATGGCATTTCGATAACTGTTGCTTCAGAGATATTTCGGCTTCGGATAACTTCGGGAACGCGTCCGAGAGCTCCAGAGAGTCCTACGCCCAAAGACGACCCCAAGACATCCCCTAAGACGGCCCAATGGCCAAGAGGCCCCCCAGACCACTGGAAAGATCCGCCTGAACTGCTCAAGCCTTGTTTCACCGAGCCTCTTCGATAGAATTCGGCAGATCCTTCGCGGTCAAGGCAGCCGCCAGAGCCCCAACAGGCCCCCACTAGCGTCCCCGACGCCTCCCAGGGCCCCAAAAGAATGTCCCAAAACGCCCAAAGGCCCCGAATACGCGACACGCCAAGAATTTCGACGCTGCGCATCATAATTCCGCCGAGCTGCAGGGAAACGGCCAATGATGCGCCGCCAGCGTCCTCGATCCAGCCGCCCCTGCCTGCGGCGCGGTTCGTGCGAGATCCGTTTGTCCGTCCGTGTGTGTGTGTGTGTGTGTGTGCGTGTGTGTGTGTGTGTGTGTGTGTTTGTACAGTGGACGCACGGCTGTAAGAAACCGTCGCAAGAAACCCAACCCCGAAAATCCATAAAGTTGCTTGCCAAGGGTCTGGGTTTCTTGGCCAGGCGCTCGAAGCGGAGAAGCCCAGGGAATCCGGGCCCGAGGAGTTTCTTCGCGGGTCGCGCTAGGAAACTGCGCGAGTAGTAATTTCGCTGTCCCTCCGAATCCACGCAGATGCAGCAAGAAATTCAAGGTGCCCTCGGCGCAGTGAGGTTTCCTCTGTGTACGTGTATGTGGCTAGTACCTGCTTCAGAACTTCCAGAAGTTACTTCCCTCGGGCGCTGCTCTGCCGTCGGCCCCCCTGCGGCTCCCCACCGGTTCTGCGCCTCCGCGGGGCTCCACAGACGGCCCTGAGACCTCACCAAGACAGCTGCGAAGTGCTCCAGAATTAACCCAAGAAGGCCCAGCGAGATCTCACGGGCAAAATATGCCCACAAGACACCTCGAGAGAGCCAGGCAATGGGGCGTGAGACATGCCCCGAGGAGGCTTCTGGGAGCCAGAGGGTCCCCAGACCGCTGCAAGACCCAGCTGGACTGCCCAAAATGGCCCCCCCGAGCCTCGAGGGAAAAGTCTGCAGTACCCTTGTGGTCAAGACGGCCGCCGGGCCCCCGAGACTCCCACAGAAGCCCGCAAGAGGCCCCCGAGCCCGGGAACTGCCCCCCAGACTCCCAAGAGGCATCTGCCTCAGATGCCCACAAGACACTCCGAGAGAGCCAGGCCCTTCGGCGTGAGAACGCCTCGAGAAGACCTCCGGGAGCCCCGCGAAACCGCGGAGACGGCCCGGGACGGCTCCAGGGCGCCCCTGAGACGGCCCAATGACGCTCCAACAGGGCCCCCAGACCGCTGCAAGACCCGGCTGGACTGCCCAGACATGGCTCCACCGAGCCTCTTCGAGGGAACTCTCGGACAACCCTCCACGATCAAGACAGCTGCCAGGCCCCCAAGGACAGCCCCCAGACTCCCGAGCATCTGAGAAGCCCGCCCCAGAAACCTTCCAGCGGCCTGGAATACGCAACGCATCACGAGTTTCAATGCTGCGCGCAACATCTCCGCCGACAGCGATGCGCTGCCAGCGTCCTCGATGAGCACGGGGTGCATTTCATCGGAGAGCAGCTTTTTGCGCACCAGCAGTGGGCTGACAACACAGGCGGCCATCGACAGAGCGCGGCCCACCAAGGAATAATCAGTCAGGAAGAAGGAGGAGCAGGAGGAGGAGGAGGAGGCCTATCGTCGGCCAGAGGGCCCGGAGCCTGCGCTGGACGACCTCCACGGGCCCGGGAGCCTGCCACCCTGGCTGCGCTGGTACGCGCGCGCCCCTCCGCCGCCCGCGCTCGGGGCGGCGCTGCGGGGGCGCCCGCGATCCCTCGCAGGCCCGGCGGGCTCGGCACTGTCGCCCGACTCGCCCGAGGCGTCGCTCGCCGGGACACGCGGCCGCTCAACGTGGCGTGCGCTGGAGGCGCGCAGGTGGCGCGCCGCGGACAGCGCACTGCCTCCCGAGGGCGGGGGCGCCGCCTGCGGGCGGCCGCCCGCGGCGCCGGCGGCCTCGGGCCGCGCCGCCCGCGGGGACGGTGGCCGCCCGCGGGCGCTGGGCAGCGGGGCCGCCGGGGCGGGGGCCTGCGGGCAGCACCGGAAGCAGACGTCGTAGTCGCACGGGCCGCACCGCCAGCGCCGCGTGGTGCCCGTCACGTGGCCCTGGCAGGAGCGGCCACCGCACAGGTCGCACACGTAATGCAACTGCCCACCCTTCACGTAGTCCGAGAGCACCATTGTGCAGCCCCTCCTCGCGCAGATTGGGTGCGCGGGCGAGTCCTCCGATGCACCCACTCCACTGCGCGGCGTATGTGCGCCCCGTGCGCCTGGACTCTCGTACACGTCCGAGGTCTCCTCCCAAGCGCCACCAGCGCGCGGCGCTGGGCCCGCAGAGCTGCCCTGCCGCCTCCCCCAGCTCGGCTGGCGTGCCGGCGGGGGGCCGCGCGCGCCCTCCTCGCCAAGCTGCGGGCAGGCTGGCCGCCCCGCGCCTGGGCCGCCGCCGCCGGACGCAGGCGGGGCCGCGACGCGCACCGACTCCAGCCACCGCCGCTTGTTCTCGACGAGCCGGCGCTGCGCCACGGCCATGCGCCGCCCAAGCCTGCCGCGCCAAACGGCCTGCATCGCGACCAGGCGCGCGAGCCTCTGGCGCGCTGCGCGCCGAGCCCACAGGCCGCGCACGGCGGCCTGCAGGGCCAGAGCAGCGCGGGCACGGCGCAGGCAATGGGCATGCCGGCGCGCCTGGAGCGCACGCCACCCAGCCTGCAGCACCACCGCCGCCGCAAGCCGCCTGGCCGCCCGCGCCCGCCAGCCGCGCTGCAGCCGCAGGCGCGCAGCCTGGCGCGCGCTGGCCCAGCGGGCGGCAGCCGCGCGCCGCAGGCGGCACCGCAGCGAGCGCTGAAGGCGGCGCGCCGCAGCCACGCACGCCGCCGCGTGGGCGCGCCAGGCAGCCATGGCGCGGCGCTTCGTCCTTTGCCGTGCTGCAGCTCTCCTCCCGAGCAGTCCCCGCCATCGGCGCTGGAGGAGAACGGCCGCCTCGCCCGCGCTGCAGAGGGCCGCCTGGTGCCGCCACCGCGCCAGCGCCACCAGCCTGGACAACGTCAGCGTCGGCTGCAAGACGCGCTCGTGGTAGCGGGCGTACCGCCGCCTGGCGAGCCACCCGCGGGCGGCGCTCTGCACGCGGACGGCGCAGGCCGCCCTCGCTCGGTGCCTGCGCCTCCACCAGCGGACCAGTCGAACGCAGGCGCCGACCCACCGTCGTGCCGCGCGGCCACGCCAACACCGCTGTAGCCGCGTGGCGGCGAGGTTCCGTTGAACCTCCAGCCGCCGCTCGCAGGCACGACGGCGCCCGAGCGCGCCCCGCCAGCGGCGCTGCAGCCCCACTGCGCCGAGGTGACGCCTGAGGTCCTGGAGGGCCCGCACCGCAAGGAAGCTGCGCGACCTGCCCTGCACGAGCCTGGCGAGGCGGATGAGCCGCTCGTCGCGGCGGCGCCGCAGACGCACGCGCTCCAGGAAGCCCCGCGCGACGCGGTTGATCAGCTGCTGAGCAGCCTGTCGCTTCCAGGCACGATCGAAGGCGCGCTCGGAACGCAGGTTCAGCCTCCGGCCCACGACGCAGAGGCTGGCCGTGTCCCCGGGGGGCGGCCCGCCCTCGGAGCCCGAGCAGCGGCGGCCCGAGTCTTCGGGCCGAAGGCCGTCCAGCTCTGGACCCTCGCCCGGGGTGCCCAGGGCAGTGGGCGCGGGGCCCACGGCGAGCGCGTCTGGCACGCGGCCTTCGGCCGCGACGCATACCCAGTCGGGCATCACGCCGTCCGGCTCGAAGGGCCCCTCGCCCACCAGGAGCTCCGCGAGGCGGGTGGCCATGCGACTCATCATGGACGCGAGCCACGGGGCGCGGGCTTCGCACGCGGGGCTCAGGTTGACCTCCAGCAGCCAGGGCCGCAGGTCCTCCCCGATCAAGAAATCGAAGCCGTACAGCTCGAAACTCTGGGGCCGGGTCACCACGGAGTGCCGGACGGAGTGCAGGCACTGCAGGACGATGCCCTGGAGCTGCGGCTGCAAGTGCTCCTTCCAGTGGCCGCTGGCACCAGTGGCCGTGCGAAGGATGTCCTGCAGCTCCGACAGGCTCGCGATGGCCCCCTCCGCGGCGTGGTTCCCGTGCTTGTTGATGGCCCAATTTGTGAGGTGGCGCTGTCGATTGGCGAGGTCGTTCATGTCGTAGGTCTCGTTGCAGAGCCGCAGATAGCACTCGGAGAACATGTAGGCCTCCAAGGGGTGAAAGGACCTAACAAGCACCCATTGCCGTATGTCGAACTTGCGCCCCCCGTACACCAACAAGGGACGCTCGATGTACTTCTGCACGATGCGATTCGCGCCGGGCTTGCAGTGGTGAAGCAGCTCGGGCAGCTGATTCATGCACATGATCCCACAACCTTTGGAGCTGGTTCCTGCATGGGGAAACCAAAAGACACCGATACCGCTACTCCCTGGACCTCTCCCGGGGTGCGTGCTGACCAGAATTTCGAAGCGAATCCAGCGGTTGCGACGAGGCCCTCCGAGGAGGCCCAAAAAGAGGGAAACCAGGGAAGGGGAGGGGTACCTTTTCCTCCTCTGAGTTCCAGGCTTCACGATCCAGGCGTTCGCAGGGCCCTGCGCGCAGGCTTCGTGCCCCCAGGCCAGCTCGAGCCTCCCCAGGGCCGTCTCCAGGGCGCTCTGCAGCTGAGCAGGGGGCTCCTGCGCCCAGGCGTGGCCGCAGAATTCGGGCCAGCGCTCGAGCGGCAGGGGGCGTTGAGCTCGGCGGGGGCAGCCCGCCTCACAGCTGTCGCCCTGGTCCTGCACGTCCTCTGCACTCAAGGGGAAGCCTGCCACGGTGAACCTGCGGTTGCGAAGCCGGGGCTGCTCGGAGGTGAGCGCCGCCTGCCGCAGGAGCTGGGCGTCTGCGAGCTCGGAGTAGAACACCATCGCGTCCCACTCCCTGCGAGTGAGGCCCCTGCCGCCTTCGGGCATGCTCTCATCGTCCGACAGCGAGCCGCACAACTCCTGCAGCATCTCCAGCAAGACCACCAGGGCTGCCCCCAAAATGGTGACGTTGCACCGGTAGCCTCCGGACTTCGACGCCTCCGCCGCCCGCTCGCCGCCAGCGCCGCTCTCCGCGGCACCGCCGTGCTCGGAGAGCAGGCGGCGGTGCTGGCGCAGGAGGTTGACCGCGGCGCAGCGGCGGAAGTCCATCAGGAAGTCGTCCCTGTCCGCCGCGTTGCTCAGGTCGTAGCAGCGCGGGAAGAACGCGTCGATTTCCACACGCTCCTCGACGGCCAGCTGGCGCAGGCTGTGGTGCAGTCCAATCTTGGTCGTCAGCACCCGATTGTTCTGGAAATGGTTGAAGAGGTCCCCGTCTTGAAGGTCGCGGTAGTCGCTCTCGCAGTCTGTCACGGACCACTTCAAATTCCACGCCGCAGAGCGGGGCAACTTGTTCTCCATCCAGCCCGAGCCTTCGCGCAGCAGCGCCTGTCGAATATGTTCGTCTGGCCCGTCGAACACAAACAGCTTGAGGCTGCAGTCCAAGCGCTGCTTCCGAAGGAAGGCCGCCACCAAGTCGCGCCTTGAAGCGTTCCTCCTCTTCAGCGCCATCTCCACCGCCTCCAGCTCTCGGTCCAGGTCCTCCTCCTCCCTCCTGACGGACGTGGGCACGCCACAGCCCCCCGTGGCGGAGCACGGGCGTGCCCTCGCCGAGCGCGCCCGGGGGGGCGTCGCCGACCGGGGCCGCGCGGGCGAGGCCCTGCACACGGGGCCCTCCGCGCCGAGGCCCTCCGACGCGCCCGCCGCAGCCTCCGGCGCGCCGCCCGCCGGCTGGCTGTGCGCCCTCCGCGGCCCCTCCCCGGCAGCGCCGTGCGGCGGCCCGCCGGCGGCCCGCTCGCAGGGCGCCCCGGGCTGCGGCGGGGGCGGCTGCGGGGGCTGCCCGGGCAGCTGCCGCGGGGGCTGCGGAGGAGGCTGCAGCGCAGGGCCCTCCGCGTGCTGCGCCGGCTGCCCGGGCGGGGGCGCCGGCCGGGCGTGCTGGGCGTGCTGCGCTGGGCGCGGCGGCCGGCCGAGGGGGCAGGCGGCCGACCCGGGGGGGAGGCGGCCCGCGCCTCGCCGCCGGGTCGACTCCGGCGGCAGGTACGCCGCCAGCAGCTGCTCCACGGCCTTGGGGCCTGTCTGCGTGCAGCCAGCAGCGCGCCTGCCGCACTTGCCTGGCGACAAGGCTGCCGAGTGGCCTTCATGCTGCTGCGGGCCGTGCTCCCCCGCTGCCAGCTGGCACACTGGCTGGCACATCACCGGCAGGCCAGCGCGCCAGGCGAGCTTCCAGGCCGCCGCCGCATCACGGGTGGCTCCCCGCGCCGTGCATTGCACAGAGCCGCCGCGCCGAGGGGCTGGCCATGGCTGCGCTGAGCCGCTTGAGCCAAAACGGCTATTACGGAGGAGCAGAGCAGGAGGGGGAGGAGGAAGGCGCAAGACGAATCCACATCCTGTCAGAACAGCCAACAGTTCGGGAGAGTTCGGTAGATCACCGCGCGCGAGAAACATCCTGGAGATCATCAGGGGCTCCGAAGAATCGATGATGGTTATACGTACCATCTCGGGGCCCGCGATAACACTACGCGGGAACGTGCTTATACCGAGCCTTTTCGGTGGAGCTCGATCAAGCCCTCGCGCCAAAAACAATTCAAGCCCATCTTGGGACCCCCCCGAGCCTCTTCGAGGGAAAATTCTGCAGAACCCTTGATTGTGGTCAAGACGGACGCCAGGCCCCCGAGAGAGCCAGGCTCTTCGGCGTGAGAACGCCGCGTGAAGACCTCCAGGAGCCTCGCCAAGCCCCCGAGACGGCCCCAGGACGCCCCTGAGACGGCCCAATGACGCTCCAACCAGGCCCCCAGACCGCTGCAAGACCCGGCTGGACTGCCCAAACATGGTTCCACCGAGCCTCTTCGAGGGAACTCGGCAGACCCTCCACGATCAAGACAGCCGCTGGGCCCCCAAGACTCCTACAGAAGCCTTCACGCCCCCCCCCCCCCCCACACAGCCTCCCAGCGGCCTCTGACAAGGCTGACTGGAATATGCAACGCATCACGAGTTTCAATGCTGCGCGCAACAACTCCGCCGAACTACCAGGGAGCGGCCAGTGATGTGCTGCCAGCGTCCTTGATGAGCACGGGGTGCATCTCAGCGGAGAGGAGCTTTTTGCGCACCAGAAGTGGGCTGACAACACAGGCGGCCATCGACAGAGCGCACCCCACCAAGGAACAATCAAGAAGGAGGAGGAGGAGGAGGAGGAAGGACGAGGGGGATCAGGATGAGAATGACTAGGAGGCAGGACGGAGAGGTGGGCAAGAACCCCCACCCCGCGTGCGGCCCCCTCCGAAAGTGACCTACCTGCAAGTGCGATCGGAAGACGTAGGACTGCTAGGAACGCCCCAAGGGCAACCCCGTAACCGCCCAGACACGGCTGCAGGATGCATTCAGAGGCCCCGATATCCCCTGAGAGGCCCCAACCAGTTCCCGAGAGACTCCCAGAGAGCAGTCCAGCAGGTCCCTGGTAGGCAAAACACAAAGTGAGCAAATCCGATACGTCTGGCTATGCTCAGCGTCATCTTTTCGGCCTGGGATGTCCGAATGGCTCTTCCAGGCAAATCCGAAATGTCCGCAACATGGGACTCCCAACCAAACGGCCACATACTGCCTTAAAAAGGCAACAACATGTCCTGACAAACCCCCAACATGACGGCCCACGATCACCCCAAAACGGCTCCACGACCCGCCAGGCAACCAACAATTCGATATACCACGCCTCTTCGGGGGAGCTCGGAAAATCACCGCGCGCGTGAAACCATCCTGGGGATCACCAGGGGCTCCGAAGAATCGATCATGGTTACACGTACCATCTCGAGGCCCGCGATAACTACGCGGGAACGTGCTTACCGCGAGCCTTTTTTCCTGGGAGCTTAACAAAAAGCCCTCGCGCCAAAAACAACCCACGCCCGTCTTGGGGGCCCGCGCGGAGGCCCCATAGATCCTGAATCCAACTCGATGCAGCGATGGCACGAGGAAGAGGTTTGCCGCACGCAGCTCGGTATAATCAGCTTTTTACGCTTGGATTGCAAGTGGAAATAGAAACGACACCGAAAACCACTTGAGCAACCAAGACCGAACAAATGTCCAGCGGTCCTTCACAAAGCAAGGGACCACCACGAGCCTGATACCGACAGCATCGCAGAGCTCAAATTTGAGATGGTCCCGCTGCACAAGAGCTGCAAAGCCGTCCGGTGTACGATGAAAGAAAGACACGAACCTGTAGTGCTGGATGCCTTGGAACTCGAAAGCGATATTCAAATATTCGTTGTAACCGTCGAGCTGCAATAATGAACGATGACCTACTCGGAGGAATTTGGGGCGCGACGTTGCAAACTGGAAGCCAGCAAAAATCGTCTCGAAAATCAATCGGGTATCCAGCTCGCCATGGCGAGATTTACATGTGGGGCACCACGTGCCAAGATTATGAACGTTACTCATAGTAGCAGACCATTGATGCCCCTTGTCGCACTCCCATGTCATATTCGTTCTATTGTTCAGATACGTCGGCGACAGACAACGTCCCCCTCGCGACTCAGCAACCTCGCATGCGAATTCGAGTCCCAATGATATCCGACTCCGCGCGCACTCTGGACACCAAGTCCCTCCAGAACGGACATTGAGGAGCGATGCATGCCAGACGTGACCCTGAGAGCATCGCCATGTGAGCTTTGTCCTACAATTTTGGTACGTGTCGGACAAGCAATGTCCATCATTACCTTGCGCAATGCGCTGAGCAAGCGTCAAGCCCAACTGGCCTTTGTCACGCGCGCATTGCGGACACCAGGTTCCACCATTCGAACCGTGCTTCATGTTTCTCATTGGTGCTTTCCAAACGTGTCCC